ATTTAGAAAAAGGTAATATACATTAAAAGTGCCTAGTTCACAAAAGGTGGTCAGTAAATGTGAGCCTTCTTCCTTCTTTCCCTTGGGCAGCCAAACTTAACCTTACCTACAAGTTTTACTCTGTGTTTTTATGACATCTATGTATATAATGCTTATGGGTGTAATGCTAATATGTGTATATGCTTATGATTTTCATAATTAAGTAAACTAAAGACTCATTACTTTGGGCTTCTCAATATCAATGCTGATTTGATTTGGGCTGATGACAAGCAGTTAGCCACCTTTTGCTATTCAGTAAAGAATTCATATGATCCTGGGTCATATTTAATCTATAATAAACTACCCAACAACTCAACAAGCCAAGAAGTAAACATTTAAAAAATTTTTATTTGTATTGAAACATAGTTGACATACAATATTATAATTTCAGGTATACAACATAGTGATTTGACTATGTACATTACAAAATTCTTACCATGATAAATGTAGTTACCATTTGTCACCATACAAAGTTATTATAACATTACCGACTATATTCCCTATGCTACACTTTTCATCCCTGTGACTTATTTATTTTTTAATTGGAAGTGTGTACCTCTTAATCCCCCTCACCTATGTTGCCCATCTCCCATGTGTCCCTGCTCTGTGGAAGTCACCAGTTTGTTCTCTGTACTTATGAATTCATTGAGAAGCAAACATTTTAATGGATTGCTATATATTTATTGCTAACATAGAAATATGACCTTACATTTACATAAAGCATTACAGTTTTCCATGTACTTTAACATATATTATTTCATTGTTATCTCACAATAACTTTCAGATGCTACTAAAACAGAAGACATTACTCTCATTTTGCATGTGATAAAACTGGGGTGAAAGGGATTATATGTGTTCTCTACCCTGGCCACAGATAACATGGGGAACTTGAAAAATATGGCCGACAGATAGAAACTGCACTACTGGGGGTGAGGATTTAATAATATGGGTAACTGTTGAACCACTGTGTTGTATACTTGAAATCAATATAAAATTGTACATCAATAATACATCACTAAAATAATTTTTTTAAATACGGCCAATTCTGTGCTCCAGAGATTTTGATGCAAATGGTCTGGAGAGAGCCTGAACATCGGTATCTTCCAAAATGGCCTCAGGCTAGTCCAACGTGCAGTCAGGTTGAGAGCCATTGGATTATATATACTGAGTTTAAAATGCCAAATGATAAATAAAACTAGATTGCAGAATAGGATGAGTACTTTTTATCACTCCCCAAACCATCTACTCCCTCACTACCTCAAATGTTGTAATTATAGAATCTCTGCTGGAAAACAATTCCAGAAATTTGTTTGAATAATTGTATATATTAAACAATTATGAAACAGAATTTCCTGGAAAATATTCTCAATGCAGACTTCTTGCTAATTCCAACAAACTTATTTTCTGAGTTAGCGTGGACTGCAAGTTCTAACTGCTTGTCTCACTATCTTCACAGGTAAACCTCAGGAGGGTAGATAGTCCTAAGGTGTAATAATAGTCATTCTTAAATATTTATACATCTCTAAAAAACAAAGATTTTCTTATATACCCTTAATTTCATTATTTTACCTAACAAATATAAATAATTTCCTAATATCCTTTAATAACCTTTCCAAATTCAAATCTTTCCAATCGTCCCCGGATTTTTTAAGGTTGCTTTCTTCAAAAGAACCACATACATTTCGTAGGAAGTTCCATTTAATCTAGGATTGTTAAGAACTATTTTTTTCCAAACTTTTTATGAAGGAAAAATTGAAACAAACACAAAAGAAGACAGAATAGTGTAAGGAACGCTCCAGTAGCCATCACCCATTATGCATCAACTAATGGCCATCCTTGTTTAACATACACTTTCATCCTGACTCCCATGCCCACCTTCCTGGATTTGAAGCAAATCCTAGACATTATAGCATTTTACCTGTAAATATTTCAGTATGCTTCTCTAAAAAATAAGAGCTCTTTTAAAAAAAACATAACCACAATACCTATAAAAATTTAGCTATTTCTGAATACAATCCAATATTAAATCAAATTTTCCCATTAAAAAAACGGTTGGCTTGTTCTAACCAAAATGTAAACAAGGCCCAAATACTGTATTTGTAATTAATAACTTTATTAATCTGTAGATTCCCTTTTCCTCTTTCTTCTTTAAATATATTGAAGAAAACAGGCTATTCTATAGATTTTTCTACTTTATATATTTTGCAGATTTCCAAAGTATCATTTAACATATTCTCTGTCCCTTTTATTTCTTGTAAACTGGTAATTATAGAGCAAAAGGTTTGATTTTATTTGGATTCAATTTTTTGGAAAGAATACTTCATTGATGATTGTACGTCCTCTGTCGGCACACACGTAATGTCTGCTTGTTTCTTTTTGTTACCCTAGCAGCCACTGGTTATCATTGCCTAGCTCTATCATTTCATTAGGGGGTACCACCCTCCTGTCCTCTTTTTGCATTATTTCATTTTGCTTTTCATTACGTTGACTTACTGACGAGACCAGGCTAGATACTGTGGAGATCGTTGCCATGGATTTGTTCGATTGTTTCACATGTCATTGAACTTGTTCCATTGTCCCTTGACATTTCCTGTAAACTGGACATTAGAGCTTAAATTCTGATTAGATTCAAGTTAATGTTTTTGGTATGATTACTTCATAGGCAATATTGTGTACTTCATATTACTTCATGTTAGCAGGTACCTATTGTCTGCATGCACTTATTTTCAAAATAAGTCCGTCTCCAAATCATGTCAATACACATCAAAGGGTACCTACACTCTACATTAAGAAAATTTGCCTGTAACTTTTTTATAAGGCTTTGAAAATAATTTAATAGTTTTAAATGTAGTTAATAAATCTTTCCTTTTGTTTCTGTAATTTGAAATTATATATACCAGACGATTTTCAGTTGTTCAATATAGTATTTTTTTTTCTAAACTTTTTTCCTTTTATAATGCAGTTTCTAACATATACAAAGATAGGCAGATCATAATGAACAGCTCTCGTGTACTCATCACCCAGCTTCAATGGTTAATGTTGTTTCATCTAGCTCCCCATCTACTTCTCCCTTCCTATATTACTTACATTTTTAAAAAATGAGATATAACTCACATACTATAAAATTCACCCTTTTCAAGTTTACAGCTCACTGGTTTTTAAAACAAAGTTGTGTAACCATTACTATTCAATGATTTATAGTATATCCACCGAATTATACAACTGTCACAAGTCTCTTTTTCATCTATATTTTTCCTTCCAAATCTTCTTCCTTTGCAATTTATTTGTTGAAGAAACTTGTTTATCCTGTAGCATTTCCATACTCTTGTTTTTGCTTCTTGCAGCTCTGTAATTTTTTTAAATGTCCTTTGGCCTCTGTCCTATAACTTGGTAGATATAGAGGTCTGATAAGATTCAGTTCAGTTTTTTTCCACAAGACTACTTCATAGCCCTGTTTATGTTTTAAAGGCACAAATGTCTCATCTTTCATTTTGTGATGCTAGCACTGGTTGGTGTTCAACGGTTGATCTCCATTAGGGGTTGCAAAATGGTGATGTTCTACCATTCATTCTTTATTACTTTCAATGCTCCTATAAAAAGGAAATTTCCTATATCTACTATTTGGTTATGCATTCGTACAGTTTCTTTAGAAAAATTAACATGTATTAATTTTGATTCATATTTAAGGGCCACAGACCTTTTTTTCCCAGATGTCAAATATTTTCGTAAGCGTTGCATTACAGGGCTTAAAGGGCAAAACACCTGCCCACTGGGACTGAAAGTAGGAAAATAAGGAGGCGGGGCCAGTGGTGACTTGAAATTTGCACTGAAAGCATGTATATACGTCCTCGGCTCCAGCATTTTTTTTCCGCCGCATTTCGTAAGGTTTTCTTATGAGGAGCGTTACGAAAAAGAGAAAGCCACCGGATCTAAGAATTTTGAAGTTTTGTTTCCCTTGATGAATTGGTATGCTTTTCCCTTATTCTTAAACATCAGCGAACATTCTCCATTTTCCCACTTTGCACTGCGCCCATTAAGTTCAAAGCCAAATTTTGCCTAATTCTGTAACAATAGGAATTTCTTATCTGTACATCTACATTATTCTTCGATCTTCATCTTCCGAACCTATCCTTGTCTTTAAGCTGACTCAAGATTTCTATGAGCAAAAAGAGGTTTGATGGAACAACAACAAAAAAACATTTACACAGCTATCAGTCATCATGAAAGCACTTATTTCTTAGCTCTTTAACCACTGCTCGGTGTTACTTTAAAAATCTTTAAGCCAGAAATGGTTTCTTATTGGGGTTTTAACTCGTATTTCTATGATTACTGGTGAACTTGGACATTTTCCCGTATCTGTTAACCAGGTTTAAAGTTGCTTGCTTTCGGGATGTGGCTTACATAGAACTAGGGAGGAACTCAGCCAATCGACTAAAAGAAGACAAATGAAACCCGGGAATACCTCATTCTTATACTTAAGCTTTGACTCCGCCCCGGCTTTTCCCCGACCAAGAGGGCCCTTTGTGTGTGTCCACGGCCACAGGAAGGGATCTCAGTCCGTAAAGCTGGCGGACGCTGTATTCCCCCAAGTGTACGTCTTACACGCATATCCTGGTTCCTCCGGCTTTAGTGTACAGAAAGAGCTCCCGAGCCCTGCACCGGCCGGGCGTACAGGCGGCCGCCGCGACTCTCTGCAGGCGTGGCCTCTCTCACTCGGCCTTCGATTGGTCCGCCTGATCCCGCAGGAGTCGCCGCGTCGCGCGGGCTCGCTTAGCGCGGTTGATGCGAGTGAGGAGTGGCTGCTTCTGCCTTTTTCTCCCCATCCTTTTTTTTTTTTTTTAAAGCCATAGCTATGGTTACCACGTCTCTCCCCGCCTCCCTCCACCTATCAAGAAGACTACTGGCCATTGGCTGTCTGTCACCAAGTAAGTCAGCCATTGGTCACTGGTGATGACGGGCGCTCCCCCTTCCCCTGTCTCCCGGGTCTCTTGAGGAGCCCAGGAAGGAGGCTCCTCTAGTGCCGCCGGGCCAGGGGCTCCCGGGACCCGGCCGCTGCAGTCGTTGGCGGGTCATGTCGGCCGCCCAGGGCTGGGACAGGAACCGCCGGAGGGGAGGAGGCGCCGCAGGCAGTGGTGGCGGCGGCGGAGGTAGCGGGGCCAGCGGGGGCAGTGGGGGCAGCGGGGGTCGGGGGACAGGCCAGCTCAACCGCTTCGTGCAACTCTCCGGGCGGCCGCACCTGCCAGGTGAGTCTGGGGACGAGGTCCTGACAGCTTTCGGGTGCGGCGGGAGGGTGACTGCTACCTTTTCTTTTCTCCCTGGCTTTCTTTTTTGCGGGGAGGAGGAAAGGCAGGCCCCACGCGTAATAGAGGGACAGGGGCTTAGAGAAAAGGAAAGGTGTTTTTGAGGTCAGGGAGGGAACAGGAACACACCGAAAAAAGTATTTTTGCTCTTTTGAAAGCTGTGTTCTGAGAGTTGTGTTTTCAAAGGAGAGGCCGCTGTCTCACTGACATTCCCAAATGCTTCGCTCTCTTGTTTCCCAGTCTCGACCTCTTCCGCAGTTTGATCTTGTGAAAGAAAGACATTGGCGCTTAGCTGTGGGGAATTTTTTAAAGGGTACTAAATTGAGCAAAGAATCATTTCCAAGAGTGGTTTTGTAAAAACCACCTCGAGTGTGTAAGAGTTAGGCATTCTGAAGCAAGAAAGGAGAAGGAAATGAGGGTAGGTGTTGAGATGTGGGTGGGAAACAGAACCCAGAGAATTAGGGGAAACTGGTTGAATTATTAATATTTTGGAATGTGCAGAGACAGAATGGATAATATGTCTGGATTTTGAGGGGAGAAAATGGAGATCAAGAGTATACTTACTGGCAAAATCAGGCTGTCTGCTGTATAAAAACAGCTGAGCGAGAATTGGAAAAATGCACCTAATGTGATTATTTCACGTTTTTGCTTACAGTTCCCTTTCGTTACATCAGGTGCCTTAAGAAACATAGGCAAGTCGATATGTGTGTGCAGACAATTTAAAAGAGATCAATTTGTAAGTGAATATTCAGTATAGTAGAAGGAAGGTAGGGAAGTAAATACTACACAGATTGTCAAATATTACATTGGTCAAGCTGAAGAGACCTATCAGGAATAAGGTTCAGCATATTTTTTGTGAATAATGTAATAGTGTGAAAATATTCATATCTTTTTTGTGAACGATGTTGATGCTGATTTTATCAGTGATGTATTGCCTGATTGATGAATTTGAGAACATGGTGGGTTTTGAATTGTATATACCACTGTGCCTTGTATTTCTAAGTAGTCAAAATTGTTATGATGAATTTAAAGATAAAGGATATTTTGCATATTCAATGAGACAATTGCTTATGTTTGTGATACGGTTATTAATGTGTTAGAAATGCACATTAACCCATTTATGTATGCGACGTTAAAATTTACATTGAAGCAGTTTTAAATAGTCAAATATGTAATATACCAGGAATTGGGTTTGAGATGATAGTATTAGACTGGGTATTCTAGAATTGCTAAATATGCGATCTTTAACATAAAAAAGAAAAAAGGAGAAATTTTTTTTCTTACCCCCAAATTAATAGCAAAAACATATCTTTATAAATTGATTGATTAAAAGATAAATCTCTTGCCAAATACTATTACCAGTTTTTCCTGTACTACTGCAATCTTTAGGTCTTTGATCTTCCATTAATTAATATCATGGGCTTCATATAGGCATTCCCAGGCTCCAAGAACCTGGTTGGTGAACTTCCTCAGTGCCACCACCTGATGGCAGTAGAAGCCATAATTTCTGATAAGGGGTTTAGGTGTGGACCTATTTCTGCATTCCCTTAGTACACACAAAGCTAAGAACAGCCTATTAGGCCAGAGGTAAAGATAAATGTGTTTAAACTCTGGAAATCTATGCTGTGGGATCATCAGCGTCTTTCTGCTTTCTTTCACCCTTGACTGGTGCTTCACTCTTCCTTCCCCAAATAGGCAGCCTCTCATCTTCGCTGTCAGAATTGAGAGTATGTGTTATCTGAAAAAATACTTTGGAATTGTTTCACACCAATTCTTAATTTTCTCAAGTACTGCATTTTAAGCCTGATTGAAAGGTTTTATTTTGAAATATGTAAAAAGATTTTAGGTGACAGGGAGGGACAGGGAGGGAGGCCTGTTTTATAGCTGGCCCTTGGAGGTTAAAAAATTTTTCCCCTAAGGTTTTGTGGCTAACTCTCTTTCTCCATTGAACTCTAACCCTGTTTTTCATCCTTCTCTACCAAGACTTACAGATACTGAGCACTGAAAACACTTTCTTACTTTTTTCACATTTGCCCTGTCTCCAGCCCTCAATGAAACAAAACAAAACAACCTGGTCTTCCTGGAGTGTTCTCTCTTTGCTTCAGTGGTAGCATCCTTATCCATGCAGTTACACAAACCTGAAACTTGGGCATCCTCCTTAACATTTTCCACTCCCTTGCATTTCAGGTGTAATCAGTCCTCGAGTCCCGTAATCAGTTCTATTTATTTTATTTCTACCATAACTCCAGTCCGTGCTACCATCATCCCACACTTAGGTCTGTAAGCAGTAGAGCTTTCTAAGCAGTCTTCCTGCTCCTGCCCTTACCCTTCAATTCATACAGCACAAATCTGTGCTCATCTCTGCTCACAACCCTTTACTGCCTTTTCATTGCTCTTAGGATACATGGCCTTAACATGGCCTAAAAGGCGCACATGGTCTGGCCTCTCTCTACTTAATCCTGCATCATATAGTCTTGCTCTTTGATCTTTTTCTACCTCCTTAGATATATCCTGCTCCCTTCTGTTACAGAGCCATTGAACCTGCTGTCTCTTCATTCAGGAACCCTCTAACTCCTCATTCTATTCTCTTGTTTTAACCTTTCTTCTATTAGATCTCAGGTTGATCACACTGTTTTTCAGGGAAGCCTCAGATCCTCTGATTTGTTCTCTTCTCCCTATACACTCTCCCTGTAGCACCATGGCTCTCCTTGGGCATACTTACTATTTGTCTGTGATTCATTGATATGCATGATTTGATACTCTTGATATATACGTATGTGTATGTATATATGTGTATACACACACACACACACACACACACCCAAGTATATATGTATATACCCATGTATATGTAAATACACACATATTCTTAAATTCTAAATTAACTCATTGGCATTATGTGTAAGCAGTTAGTTCCTTGTGAATTTGATTGGTGTGGTTCAATCCCCTATAGCCACATTGACTGGACAAGTGGATAAAGTCAATTTCTTAAACATAAAAAAATAGTGGACTAGACTGCATCAACAGTGGCATCCTCAATGACAAAACAAATAATATTTTCTGAAACTTCGTTTGAGCGTCTTCTTGCCTTTTTGCTGTCTCCTAAAATACAACAGTGATTATGTATTTTCCCCATAGGTCAGGAAATTCATAACTTCTTAATCCTGGGTTTCTACTAACTCATAGTCTCTGTACACCCAGTGAAAAAGAAGGGTTCTTTTTGTAGGATAGGTATGCAGAGACAGCTCAGGCAAGGAGATCAGGGGATAATAGAACCCAAGTTACTGTTATGATTTAACAGTATGAGTTTGATTAAATACTGTGTATTAGCTGGGAAAGCAGTTAAACATTGTTGCTGAAGTAAGGACTGGAAAATTGACACAGAGGAAGAAGAACAAAGCTGTTGGTAAAAACTGGGTAAAAAAATACTTTAGGTCTTAAGAATGTAAAATATGATATATGCACATGACAAAATCCAAATGTCACAAAAAAGCATATGATAAAAGGCACGTTTTCCTTCTACCTTTGGCCCCAGTTAATTGGTTGGCTTCCTTCTCTAGCAGAAACCAGTGATAAATTTCTTAGGTATCTTTTCCAGAAAGGTGTGTATATGGGGTAGGGGTCAGGTGGCGGTGGGGGAGAGAAATGGTATTATTTCTTTGTTTGGATGTGCATTTAAGATGTAATACAAATTATGATACCGTGAATATTCCTATAAATATACAATTTTGCACATGAGTGAAACTGTCTTTAGAATAAATCCCTAGAAATACAATTGCTGGATAAAAAAATGTATACTATTTACATTTTGATATTGTCACGTTGCCCTCCAGAGTTTGTATCCGTTTGTGTTCTACTGTTCGTACTGGCTTCCCATGCCCTTGGGAGTAGATATCAAACATTTTTTAATTGACAATTAATAGGTACATTTTTCTTCATCTTTTCAATGGGTGTAAGAACCATTTTTGTTTCGTTTATTTATAACATCTGCTTATGTTTTTTATTCATCTGATTTTTTTTCATTTTTCTGTCAGAATATTTATAGGAACCAATGTTTTAAGAAATTCCTTCTCTGTCTTTGATATGTGTTGCAGATATTTTTTTCCACAGCTTGTCATTTGGCTTTTGACCTTGTTTATGGTATTTTTTTTTTCAGCAGAAATTAAACATTTTTTTGGTGGTAATTGTCAGTCCTTTCTGGATTTTAGGTTATGTGTCATAAGAAAGGCCTTCCCTATTTCAGTATTACTTCTAATGGAAAATGAAAAATTTTGTGTTTTTTTCCTGGTATTTTTGTAATTTTGTTTTTAAGTTAAATGTACTTATCCATACAGGCATAAGTTGTGTAAAGTATTGAGGTAGGAATCCAACTTAACTTTCTTCCAGGTGGATGCCCAGTTATTGGACTGTTTGTTGCCTGTGGGTGTACTTAGTTCCTACATATAATTTGGGTTTCTTACTGGACTTTTATTCTGTTTCATTGATCAGTATACTCTTTATACCTAATGACCCCATTCTTTGATTCTAGAACTCTCTCATTTTACTGTCCAGAGTTTTCCTGGATATTCTTGCTTGTTTATTTGTCCATAAAATTTAAGAATTATTTACCAAAGTTCCTTCCCCCATCCTGCTGGTATTTTTATTGGAACTTAATTATATTTATAGATTGATTTAGAGATAACTGACGCCTTTTTGAGGTTTAATCTTCTGTTTAAGATCATGGTACATATATATTCATTTCTTGTTGTTCAGGTTGTGCCTCCCTCAGTAACATTTTAAGGCTTTTTCTCATATAAACTTTTCACATTTCTTATGTTTAGTTCTTAATATTTTATCTTGTTTTTTTTGCTACTGTAAATGATGTTTCTCTTTTATTATATCTTTTATCTTGTTTGAATGTGGGAATGCTATTGATTTCTGAGTATTAATTTTGTATGTAGCCA